GTTTCCTTTGCTTTCTGTCGCTTGCCAGTTTCCTTGAGATTCTTGCTATCGTTTGTGAGAGCGTGGAGTAACTTTCTTGGAACCACTCCCATCTATCGTGAATAGGTAGATAATTACCTCTCATATTATCCAACAATCTAGGACTCCCTCTTGAAAGGATTGGCTTAGTAGGAGAGAGTTATTCAACTTGTGAAAGTTGGACCCTTTCTTCACGTATTGTTCGAAGCTGATGATGAGTTCGATGGGTTTGTGATACAGGGCCGGGTATGGTTGTAGCGGAAGGATTTCTGCGTTTTTGGTTGTTCCCATTAGTGTCTCTGAGAGTGGAAAGTAGCCGATGAAGGAGAAGGCCGTATGTTGAGCAAGGTTCTTCTTAACCAACGTGAATGAATTTTCCCCCGGATGCAGAGTGCGATACGGTTCGACTAGATTGTGATCCAAGATCAACTTCTGAATGGTACCGCCTCTTGTGTCGACTGGTTGGCCGCTGATCTGGCGATGCGGTCGATGGATGGATCCAATGTCACGTTCCAATCTCCTGCTAAGATGCATGGTGTCAGGGGGGTGATCAGTTGACCAATGTTCGTTATGAATGTTGTCCTTTCGTAAGAGTTGTTCGGTGCGTACACGTTGATTAATCTAAATTCCTCTTCCTTCCATTTCAGGTCCATAAGGCACCATCTCCCCTCTGCTGTATCTACCTCCATGCCCAGGATCGACCCTGTTGTGAGGAGGCGGGACGATTTAGGTATGAGGATGGTTGTTCCCTTTGTGCTTGATACATTGTCCGATGACCATATTTCACTTGTGACTCCTCCCATCTTTTTTGTTAAAGCTTTCCGGATTCTGTTGTGTTCTATTGACGTGTTCGGGTGTGCCTCTTGTAGCAAGATTATATCTGCCAGTTTGTTTGTATGACCCGTCAATCCTTTGATTATGCCGTTTAACTTCGCTTCTTTTTCCCTTATGTTGCCTAACCCGTTGACATCCCAACTTCAGCTGATTATCCGTTCTGTCTTCTAGTTCACTCGCGCCTCATTAGCGTTTGCCCTCTTTCTAAAGATTTCCAACAATGTGGCCGTCGGGCCATGGTGAGACTGGTATTATGGTGTTAAGGTTTTCAAGAGGGGTCCTGGTCGAACTCCTCCATAGAGGAGGTGGACTCGTCCGGCGGATCCTGTTGTGTCTTGGTGGTGGCGTCATCCATCTGGTATTCTCAAATGTTTCCGCTGGTTCCTTGGTCCATTCAGAAGGTCAATTTTAAAGTGACTCCATGAGTCTCCATCATCCTGCCAGTCTTCCATGTTATCCTCTGAATAGTCACTTTTGTAGAACCTGTCCAGATCTATGGTGAGTGCTTTGGATTTCAGACCACTGTCTTTATTCAAGATACCGGAGCTCAAGAGGTGTGCTACCGAGGCCGCCAACAGCTCTGCTGGGATTCTCAAACCCGTGAGGACACTGTATGGGATTGTTGTGACCGTCCTCCATGGTCTCCACATCATTCCACTCTTGAGTTGGGTGTTTGCTGGCATCTTGACGATCATGGGAGAGAAGGCATCGGGGCTGTGTCGCTCCCCTTCCATCTGTTGGTCCTGTTGTTTCCCATGTGCTGGTTGGGGGAGCTGGCCTCCAAACAGTCATAGGAGTCGATTGTTTCGTACAGGCCCAGCTGGTTCTCGCTCCTTGTCCATTCGGGGGAGCGTCAGTCCGGTTCCTATTCCACCGGCAAGTCATTTGAAATACAGATCGAAAAAAAAAAAAGAAAAAAAAAAGAGATGTTCAGATTTAGGATTTTCTTTGATGGGTGTTAGTTTGGGTTTCGTTTGGTGGACTCCGGTTATGTTGGCTTCGGGATTCTTTTGGGCGGTGGTACCTCCAGGTATCGCCCATGGCATCAACAGTTAGCGGGGCCCTAATGGTTGGGACCTTGGTGGCTGATTTTTGGATACCGGCTTTGGACCACTGATCTTTTCTGGGAGACGCTGTTTAGATTTCGTCCTTCGGATATCTCTACCTTTCAGGCATACGAATCGAAGGTGCACTTCTTGTACGGGAACTCACGGTTTCAATATGACGAATTGGTGTGGGTCACATCTATTGAGAGCTGTTTCACACGTGTGCCTTGAGTTGTGTGCACTTTCATTGAGGTAGTTGAACTGTATTTGCAGGCTGTGTTGCCTTGGGATGCGAGGTGTTTTTTCTTATGAGCAGTGTGGGAAGTGTCACTGCGAGAACGATCACATAGCGGTTATGAATCCTTTTATCTCTGAGGATGCAACATTCTCCAGGTGCAAGGGGAGGAGCTCGCTTGTGGTCTGTTGTCTTCTGTGCTGTGTGTGGTTTGCATCTGTCCTTGTTTTCTTGGCAGGAACAGTTCTGAGTCCTTGTTTTCCTTGCAGGAACAGTTTCTATCTACAGGGGAACGATGGCAATGAAGATGGCAGTAGACGTGATGCCTCCATCAAGCGTTGCTTTGATGGACAAGTGTGCTCCGAAATTCCCTTTGTGGGACTGTGTATGATCTGGGATGTTGCGATTTTTCTTTTTTCCTGGAGGAAAGGTGGGTTGTTTGTTTCATTTCCATATTTGCAGGGGTCTACTGTTCTGCGAGGATTTTAAGCCCTCGGCATACCTGCATGTGGCCCCTACAGCAAGCATGCGCCCGCCCTAAGTGAAGCCGGGCCTCAGAATCTCAATGAGGCCTGAATTTGTCGATTTTGCGAAGTCTTGGTGGGCGCCAGACAGTTGCCGCCAGTTGGTTACATCCACCCTGCTCGCGAAAATCAGAAACATTTGTGAGCCTTCTAGGCTCTTCTGGCAACGCAGTGGAAGCAGGGAGCACCTCACGTCCGCACTTGGGTGGTTGGGCGCGCCTAACTAATTCGGTCCCAGTCCACTGTCTGAATGGGCCTGGACGCAGACACTTCGACCCAACCTGAAGCTAGAGGGCACACGCACATCCCTCCCCAGGCAGGAAAGTGCCTGGCTGCTTTCCATATAGGAAAGAGCCAGGCCGGGGTCGGGGGATTCGGGCACTTGCAACTGCATGCGGCAGCACTGGTGGAGCGTTTGCTCGTGCCTGCTTGCTAGTTGCTCTGGTCTTTGGGCGCGCGTGGGCATCGGGAGAAGAAGGGCGTCGCAATAAGGCAGCACCATAGCTCAGCCCCCATAACCGGGCTTGAGCTTTGATGTCAGCGGGTGATTGGTGATGGTCCTTGGAAGGCGGTAGGGCGGGGGAGGAGAAGACGAGGGTGAGCATGTTGAGGGCGAGCGGGGAGTGATGTGAGAGCACGTACCTGGTCTTGGTGGAGGTCTGCATGGTCGACATCTGCATGTACATCGGTTGCTGCTGCTGATGTCAATTGGTTGCTTTGTCATTTCATAGGCTAGCTTCGTAGCTGTAGGATTGTAGTCTGGACGCTGAGCGCCAGTAGGGAGGAAGAGCTTCGAGTACGTTGTTGGCGGTGGCGAGAGAGGGCTCTCACTGACAATTGAGTTCGTTGCTTTGGTTCTCCTTCAGTGTGATTTCAGTGCATTTCTGCTTTCGGGACAGCTTACGACTCTCTGGCATTCATTGTGATTTTGCAATCTGGAATTCTCTCATTTTGCTATTGCTCATTTTTCTTTGCAGTTCGCTTTTCCTTTTTTTTCACTCTGTTGTGGGAGCTGTTGCCCCTATTAGTTCCCCTTCATGTGCAGCTGTTTACTATTGCATTCACAAGGGTCTAGGAGGTGTCCGTTTGACACACACACAAAAAAAAAAAAAAAAAACATACACTGCAATGAGCCCGGACGTGATGATACTCGTCAACATTACCAGTCCATATGATTATCGATCTGCTGATGAATGCCAAACAATCGCAAATGTGTGTGATGATAGAATGAGGTGAGAATCATACACAGACGAAGGAGGAGAGAGGGAGAATAGACAAAGGTGAGAGAAGAAGACAACAGCCCACTTCTACTTCGGGTTCCTCCTCCTCCTCGTTCCTCGTCAATCAATAGACTGAATACAATGTCTGAAGTTCTTCCTCAAGGTGCCACGTGGCACGTCAATCTGTCTACATCAGCAAATGGAGAGTATCGTCATCAACCAGGTACGTATCCTCGATAACCACAGTCTTGATCCCCTTCCGAAGTGACGAAGAATCAGAACAGCCTCATCAATCTCGCAGCCCGCCACGTCATCAATCATATACAGGTGGCAGCGGCCACGTCAGCAATGGCGCATGGCAGCTGCCACGTCAGCATGCCCAGAAGACCATCGTCAGCCAGCACCTTGCCAGCCAGCAGCGCCTTGCCGTCCTCCTCTGCCAGCATAGAGCCGGCGTCAAGCCAATGTCGCAATGTCGCAGCATAGCAACAGCGTCAAAGTCCACGCGTGAAGTCAGCATTCACGCAAGACTGAATGTCCTCCAGCCAGGAAGTCAACTCTTAAATAGCGTGGATGCAGGGTCTGGACCCCAGATTGGCCAGAAACTGTATTCCTCCCCCCCTGAATGCTGTCTGGGTACGTGCACACAACAAGTGAATGTATCCGACCATAGGCCTGGGCGCGGTACCTTTGACTCTACAGTTGACTTTGACTGTTGAATTTCCTTTGTGCTGCGTTCGGTCACACAGCCTCCTCGACAGACTCAGGCTGGGCATGTCTCAGTCACATAGCCCAGCACAGACAACTGAGTCGGTGCTTTACCGGGGGCAACGTTATGAGCCCCGGTCTGCTGCTGAACAGGGTTACTGCATACACGGTGTGCTGTGGTTAGCTTCACAACACCATGTCTCTTTCTCAGTTCCTTTCCAATCTCTCAGTCTTTCATGTTAGAGAACTTTCTGTCATTCATCGGTCATAAAGAGGAGGCAGAGACAATTCACACTAACCCAGTGCAAACAAAACATGGATGTTGGGTTGCCACCTTGAATGCAGTTGCTTGGTCATTGATGTACTCTGTGTGTTGGCCTGCTTGCCTTAATTGTCGACTTGTGTGGTGGCCCAGGTGGTTTGAGCGAGTGCTGGACGTCAGGCGGCCTGTTGTCGGAAATCTTGGAATACCAAGGTTCTGCTCAGAAAGGTGGACGGAAAACAAAAAATGCAAGACCTGGGATAACTCTCTATGCGTTGTATGCCACCTGGACTGTTGTAACTACCCATCTAGACTCCATATACCTCCCTCTCTGTCACTCACACACACGCTTACACACACACACACACACCAACCTCCTGATGAGTCGGTGAAAGTCCGGCGAAACAGCCTGGGACAGTCATGCTTTTCTTTGTGAAATTGTGTATAGCAAGTATGACATCACACACACACTGGTCTTGCTAGCTCTTTGCTCTGGTGGGTCAAGCAGCTAGGATCAGACCTGTACTATCAGGTCATTCTCGTCGTATGCTGGATCTGCTTTCTGAGCCTTGACATTATGGAAGGTAGTTCTGTAATATCCTGTGTGATTGGCCAGGTAAGTACAACATCACTGCTGTTACTGTGGTAGATTGAACACGTATTGCTATTAGAGCTACGTCAATGTACGCCTTGAATTGTTTGTCTGTCTTGTCTGGTGCTCTGATCCTGTTGTCATTGATTGGAGTGCTGCCTTAGACCACCAGTACCTGCCCAGCTATCGGTCGCCTAGAAAAATAGAGTGGAAACATTTCTAATCGGATGCATTTGGATGCTCCTGTAGTGGCCCGTACGTTAAAATTGTGGCCTGTATACGGGCACGACTTTAGGAAGTACTGGTGGTTTAAGTGAAACTAAGTGTTTCGTTTTTCTTGGATTGTCTATGTGGCTGAGCCTTTGGTTTCTGAACTGCTAAATGCATATCAATGAGCATCACTAAGAGACCAGACAACATGCAAGGTGCAGGTGTGCTGAAAAGCAAACGGGTGTGTACGCATTCCATGCTCAAGTACACAGATGTGGTGGACTTTGCACCTCTCAGAAAACAACAATGAGACAGCTGTTTCATCAAAACATTAAAATTATCAGAGCATTACAATCGTTCAAAATATCATACGTAAATGATATAACTTGATACAAGATTGTAAGGTAACGCTGTTTCAGATCTACTCATCTGGGTGGAAAAGGTGTTGTTCTGGCGCCAGTTTAAAACACACATGCCGTTCATGCCAGTTCCCTGCTCTTGTGGATCGATTGGCTAGGATCGGACCTGTAATAGCCGGTCATTCTCATCGTATGCTGGATCTGCTTTATGAGCCTTGAGATTATGGCATATAGTTTTTTGTTGTATCATGTGTGATTGTACCGGATAAGTATAACGGCACTACTCTTAATGTGGTGGATTGAACACGTATTGCTATCAGTGTCATGCTGATGAATCTTTCCACCGTGAATTGTCTGTCCGTCCCTTTCGGTGCTATGATTTCGTTATGTCGCTGACTGGAAGGATGGCTTGAGTGAAACCAACTGTTTTTTTTTCCTTTTTTCTTTTCTTAACATTGTTCTTGGATTTTTTTTATTTTATTTTTGTAATTTCTTGGATTGTTTATGTGGCTGACGGATTGGCTTTTGAATATGAAATGCAATTGGTTTTTGAACACAATGCATACGAACGAGTATCACTAAGAGAACAGACAAAATACAAGGTGCAGGTTGTTGAAAAGCAAACGGGTGTGTGCACACTCCACTTTTCATCACACAGAAGTGGTGGACCTTGCACCTCTCAGAATACAACAATGAAATGGTCGTTACATCAAAACATCACAATCTTTCAAAATATCATATATAAGTTAATATAACATTATGGAAGATAGATCAGACCGCGAGCTCCGGCGGGTTAGCGCCTTCTCATACGCGCGAAAGTGATGGGAGTGGGATAGCTCGTGCTTCTCAGCACGGCGTCCATCGCCGGGGGTCATCACATGCCGGTGGACGTCACCACGGGTAGTCGCCATCGGAGTCCACGGGTGATCGCGTGTGCTTCTAAGCACGGCGTCCATCGTAGAATGCCGTCGAGAAACAGTCGCGGTAGCCACGACGGGGGGGTGATTGTTCGTGCTTCTCGCCACGACGACCATCGGGAGGGGTTATCACGCGGCAGTGGCAGTCGACAGGGGTTAACACTTTCAAAGTCCGCAAGTATGCGCGATTGGTTCCAGGTACGGAGACCAACGCAGGAAGCCATCACCTGGCTGTTGCCACGGGTGAAGGTTTCCTGGGCCGCATGCGACATCGAGTGTCGGAGACAGAAGGACGCAATCACGGACAGGGGAAGACACAGAAGGACGACAACGTCAAGACTCAAGACGAAGGGGACCTCGATCATCTGCCGCAAACAGTCAGCCGGGTCATTTCCATCATCATCGATCTGCGCCTGCGACGTCAACGATATTCATCAGGGATCTTCATCAGCGATCTCCACCAGCGATCTATACCAGCGATCTACACCAGTGATATTCACCAGCGATCTACACCAGCGATCTCCAACAGAAATCTTCACCAGCAATCTTCACCAGCATTCTTCACCAGCGATCTACCAGTGATCTTCACCAGCGATCTCGATCAGCCAGCGACCTACACCAGTGATCTACACCATCGATCTCTACCAGCGATCTTCACCAGCTATCTTCACTGACGTTCTTCTCCCGTGATCTACACCAGCGATATTCACCAGCGACCACGACTCTATCGGCCACGTCATCGCAATCATCACCAGAGATTGCACCCCCATAGGCTTCGTCAGCACGATCATCACCAGCGATCTTCCGATCATCACCAATGATCTTCACTAGCGATCTTCACCAGCGATTACGCCTCTATCTGCTAGCCATCACGATCATCACCAGAGATAGCGCCTTCATCACCCACGTCAGCACAATCATCACCAGCGATCTTCACCAGCAATTGTCACCAGCGATCAGGCAATTATTGGTCGCGTCATCACGGCCATCACCAGCTATCAGGCCTTTAACATCCATGTCATCAGGGTCTCCATTGAAGAGTGACGCTGAGTCTGTGATTGGGAGGAAGGATCAAGAAAGAATTGGGGGGTAAATTATTACAACAGTGTTATTTAATTCCCGATTGAAGTACAGTATCACACTCGATATTAACATCTGCCTCATGGCAGCAGCTTTAGAAGGAGCCAGAGCTAGCATGGACCTAACTTATGTACAGGTGGTGGGGACTCAACAAGCGGGAGCCGAGAAAACGACTCCTGGGACGGCAGCAGCTGCTCACCATGCAGCTACTACAGGAATATACACGACCCAATCGGAAGGAGGTGAGAAAGAGGTCGAAAAGGGACTGTGTTATGACCCTGGCCAATTTCGAGATACACATCCACTGGAAAATACAATGCCATCCAATTGCAGAAAGAAATGAATGAACTTGAGAGGTGAGAGAGGAGTAGGAGAAGAAGAAGAAGTAAGAAAGAAGAAGAAAAAGATGTACACCAGCAAAGACAATGACAAGGCTCTTCTTCTTCGCCCAACAATCTCCTCCTCCTTATCTCCCCCTTCTCTTATTCAT